ATTAAATTGGAACAACTAAGAGAACTTGGTATTACTATGGAGCTACTTAACTAAAAACTCCTCATTTCAATAATAATAATAATTATTATAACTTTTGAAATAAAAATGATATATAATTATGTATATAATATGTAAGAATTAATTAAATTAATTTTATTTTAATAATTAAACTAGACAAATATTTAAAAAAATCAAACCAAAAGATATATCAATAATTTCCCTATTCGAATATGAAAACTGCAACTTGAAATCACGAATTGTTATCCCTTATATTCCTCAAGGGGCAAGGGGCATGGTTTGCAATATATACTCGTTCGTTGAACTTACGTTATTGGACCACAAATGAAAACCAAGTTGATCGAAACTCTTCGAAAGTGAAAGACTAATTGGTTCTCATCGATTTTTCAATTTTTTTCTTTCTTATTTTCTACTCCATTTGCCCTTTAGTTGTTTTATTTTCTAAATAAGAGTGGTCTAATTAGTTGTCTTACTTTCTTTTTAAATAAGACATTAAATGTTAATATTTTAATTTTATCCTTATCTTATAAGAGTTAGAGATGCATTTGAATTCTTTTGTTTAATTATAAATAAGGATGAAAATGAAAAGAAAAGTCCAACTTTCGTAATAAATAAATTTTTTGATTATCAATGAATGGATAAGGTAATATATAACTAAATCAAACCAAATGGAGTACTTGTTTTAGATATTAAATATTTTTCTTTCTTTCTTTTTTATTTTTTGGCCTTCTAACTACTAAATTCTTGATCACTAATATCAAGACTTAAATATAAAACCTCTTAACTTAAATAATGAGTTTAGATTGGGGGATTTGGAGGGGAAGGAAAGGAGAGGGACAAAGAGATATCTCTTTCCCATTGTTTGGTTTAGATCATTAATGGAGGGGGAGAGAAATGGAGCCTCCTCTACTCTTCTGCTTTTCATCCCTCCAAATATGAGAGATTATAATGGATTTAGTTTGTATTTTTCTGATTTTTTAAGAAAATAAATATATAAATATTTTATTTCAATTATATATTTAAATAATAAAATTAAAAAATATATTTTTAAAATTATTTACTAATTAAATAAAATATTATCCTTTCATTTTTTCACTTTTATACATCCAAACAAAATTAACATCAATCATTTTTTTTCCCTTCTCTTCCTTTTCTTTTTCTAATTTTTTACCAAATATATCAATCCAAACTCACACCATTATCTGATGAGATAACTCGAAGGGATCATTCATTGTTATGGAAGGTTTGACTTGGACCACAAATGAAAACTAAGTTAATTGAAACACTTTAGAAATTGAAACACATTAGAAATTGAAAGTCATTGGTTCTAACATTTATTTCTTATTTCAATAGTTTTGCTGGTTTCATTCTCCATCACTTATTTCAAAATTCAAATACGAAACCTTCAATTTCAAGTCGTAAACTATTCTCTGCTGAGATATCCGAGGGACAGGAGCTCAAGAATTGTAATAAATACTCATTTCATTGAACTTATGATAAGGAAGTTGGACCACAAACGAAAACCACGTTGATTGAAACACGTAGAAAATGAAAGTATGGCTCTCGTTTTTCCTTCTCGTCTGCAAACACCAACTCTTTTCTTTTTGGATTCATGGAATAATATAATAAATGTCCATAAATATATATATATAGAGAGAGAGAAATGATTCATTTACATACAAATTTTACATATTACACTTATATATATAAAATCTTGAACATTAATTTCTTAATTAACTTTCAATTATTTAGATTTATTATGACTTTATAGATGAAAAATATATTTATTTTTAATAAATATTAACTATTAAAAATAAAAAGATAAATAATTGAGATTTTATTTAAA